CTTAAAGTGACATCACTGAGGTGGTAAAATCTGTGAGTTTATGTCTTTTACGAAATTTGGGAAAATTTTGGCTGTTAACCTTTTCAAATGTATATTTATGCCCTAATCTCTTCCTGCTCTCCTTTTGGTGCTCCAAGTGCATGCAGACCTTCTGACATTGTCCCACAGGTCCCTGGGGGTGCTGCTCGCTTTTTCTAAACTTTTTCCCGCTCTGTTCTTTGGTTTCTGTCATTTCCATTCTGCAGTTGAGCCCTTCCAGTACTTTATTCTCGGATACTGTAGTTTTTAGTTTTAAAATTCTAACTTAGTTCCCTTTTATAGTTTCTTTTCTCTGATGAGATTTCCTGTCTTTTCATTTACTTCAAGAATGTTCACTTTTTCAAGGCACAAGGGAAAGATTAGTCCAAAGGACTAATGGACCGCAGTTACCATGGCCTCCACCAGACTGAGTCCAGTACAACTAAATGGTTCCCGGCTACCACCACTGACTGCTCTGACAGAGATCACAATAGAAGGTCCTGGACAGAGCTGGAGAAAAATGTAGAACAAAATTCTAACTCACAAAAAAAAAGACCAGACTTACTGGCCTGACAGAAACTAGAGAAACCCTGAGAATACGGCCTCTGGATCCCTTTTAGCTCAGTAATGAAGTCCCTCCTGAGGTTTACCCTTCATCCAAAGATTAGACAGGCCCATAAAACAAAATGAGACTAACGGGGCACACCAGCCCAGGGGCAAAGACTAGAAGGCAGGAGGGGACAGGAAAGCTGGTGATAGGGAAGTCAAGGTTGAGAAGGGCGAGCGTTGACATGTCATGGGTTTGTTAACCAATGTCATAAAACAATACATGTACTAACTGTTTAATGAGAAGCTTGTTTGTTCTGTAAACCTTCATGTAAAGTACAATAAAAAAAATTAAACAATTAAAAAAAAAAGAATGTTCACTTTTGCTTCACAGAATGTAGTTACAATAGTTACTTTAAAGTCTTTGGCAATTCCAGCATGTCTATCATCTTGGGTTGGCAGCTGTTGATTGTCTTTTCCAGTAAGAATGGGTCACTTTTCCCAGGTTCTTTGTGAGTAATTTTGGATTGTATCCTAGTCATTGTGAGTATTCTGTTGTGTAGACTCTGGGTTTCCTTATATTTCCGCTTTACCAGGCATTCAACCTGATCAGGTCCAGCTAGGTCTCTGTCTTGTCTTCTGTGGGTGCCTTGCTCTGCTGGTGTGGGCCTGCCCCATGTGCATGGCTCAGGGGCTACACTGAGACTTGAGCAGGTTCATGGAGGGAATTAGGGATCCCTCTCGCTGGGCCTCAGAGTTGACTCACCTGCGGTGGGTGGGTTTGGGTCTCTCCTCGCCAGGCTTCTCCCCCTGCACGCTAGCCTGCCCAGGCTCCTTTCTGTGGTTCCTTGGGCCAGAAAGCTGGTGGAGTTCCTTACGGGCTTTGTGCCATCTGCACTGTGCTGTCCCTGCAGCTGAGGCCCACCCTTGGGCAAAGCTGTTGGAGGACAAAAGAAGGAGAAGCTCACCTTCATGGGGTTCACTTCCCCACGTTTTGATGTCCCTCCACAGTTGGCCTACTTTGGTTCACTTTTTGATGTCCTCAGCTGGTTGGTTTTTTGCTTATAGCTTTTAGTTGTATTTGGCGGGGGGACTGGCTCAGGCGCTTTCCCCGCCACAGTGGACTGGCACTCCGGTTGATGGCAGTTTAAGTCCCTCTCACTCCATACGCTCCCTGTACATCTTCACCTCTCTCAACCTCTTTCTGCCTTTCCTTGTCTCTTTTCCTGCAGTTTATCTGCTGGAGAAATCCAGGTTCCTCATAGTCTTGACTTTGCTGATTGCGTCCCTGTGGTAGTGTTTAACATGTTGTTCCATCTCCTTATTTCCTGTAAATCGGTGTTAGCTCTAAATCAGACTCAGATCCCCTTATTCCGTTGGTGGTGTTGCGTTTGCCCATTAGGGGGCACAGTCTCTCCGTCTCGTGTGTGATGTGAGCAGCCACTCAGTTGTGGCCTGCGGTCGTGTTTCTGTGAGGATTTCAGTGGCATGTTCTAATTCTGTCATCCCGTCTCCGTTTATGACCTGGAGTGCTCCCTTGCAGAGACACTTGCCTTCTCTGTTCGTTTTCCTGGAGATGCAGATTACACAAGAAAGCCTTCCTTCTCTTTATTTACCATTCAAAACCATGTCCTTGATTCAAAATAGTGTACTGACTGAGAGATGACCAGGGTGCGGCTTATTTTAGTGTCATTATGAACTTGTGGATATAATGTATTGTTATTTCAATCCATTTTAGACATTAGTAGCTTTTCTTAAATGGAGTTTGTGCTATCAGATGAAGTTACAGTTCTTAATGTACAATAATGATTCCAGCCTTCCAGGTGGATGCTTTCCTTCTTCACCTTTATAAACTCACAGGAGAGGGTTCGCTTGCGCCTTTGGTGCCTGAGACCATGTGGGGCTGGCGGGCTCACGGTTCTGTGGTAACTTTGCCTCTGGCCTCTTTAAGAACCCGAAGGCTCCATGTGGAGCTGTAACTCTGCCTTTTGTTGTAACTGAAATGTATCCTCTGATTGTTTGACTTGCGGGTGCGGAGAAATGGTAGCATCAATATCTGCCGCTTATACTGTGCTCTTTTCTATAGTACTTCATTACTTTTTTTCTGAAATTCCTCATGATAAAGATCTTGTCATTTTAATAACTTAAATTTCAAATGGAATGTGACATTTTTGTTTAAGTTACATTTCTTTTAACCTTGTTTAAATGCAGGGAAGCGTTTTGCTGTTTCTGGAATGTCGTTTTGTGATTTCTGAGACGCACCCATGAGCATCATTGGCCCAGTGTGCGGTCAGGGTGTGTGGTGCTCCGCGAGTCCGTCATGGGGTGAGATGTTGGTGGGAGCCGGCAGGTTCTGGATGCAAGGCTAGTGGGGACTGGAAACAGTCCGCAAGTGCAGGGAGCTTCGTGGTTAGGGTGTTGGCCCCGTCCTATGGTGATGAGGGTTTAGGGACAGACTCGGTGCACTGCTTTGGGGAATTAGTTAAGTTAGAATGCTTGTGTATGGTAGACACTGGCGGCCACTAAGTACATGTCAAGAGGGCCTGGCACCATTCTGGCGTCGTAGGGCTGGGGAGCGGGGGGATATGGGGGCCGACCAAGGGCCATGATGCAGGCTCGGGTTGGAGGCCTGAGTCCAGTGCTGGCTGTGTGGCCTCAGGCGCGTACCTGCTTAGTTAGGCGTGTTGTGCCTCAGGGCCCTCAGCGCCCTCAGCACCCTCAGGGCCCTCAGGGCCCTCAGGGCCCTCAGCGCCCTCAGCCCTCAGCGCCCTCAGCGCCCTCAGCGCCCTCGGGGCCCTCAGCGCCCTC